CCCTAGAAACACCTGGGAGGCATTAGGTAGTGCTTGGTGCCCGCTTTGGCCCCTCTTGCCGAATCCTCCGTTTGCAGTTTCTCTCGGCGCTAGAGAAATCGACGAGCTGGAAAGCAAGTCTTAAGAGCCTGCATCTTGCTGATCTTGCGAAGAAGCGTAGACCATCGCGCAAACTTCACTCCTCACGGCAGCGGCTTTTGGCTAACCATCGAACAAACGCATCGCCCGCTTCCAGATGCGCTTCTGCGCCCGTGCAGAATGCTCTTCCTTCCAATTTTTAGGTAGCAACAAAAAATAATCTAGATTGAAAACTAATTTCTTTAGACCTGCTTTTTGTGTGTTTTAGTTTTGTTGTCCTTCCCCGAGCCTACGATCAGCACGGCTGGCTACGTGCGATGCGGAAGAAGTTGAACACGATACAAACATACGTCTTGTTCACGCACTCGACTGCGGAACGAAATGCACGTGTGCGAAAGCAACACTAGCACCCATCCGGACTGGCGCAAGGCGTGCGAGCTCGCACCCGCACGCTCGTCGTGTTCTAACGCACGTGCGCAAATTGTGAGTACGTGGCACAACTTGGCGTTTTAAAATATATAATGCAAATGCTTTTTTCCCCCCAAGTATGTTGCAGCCAATCTTTCCAAAAACTACACACTTCGGAAATGTTAATGTTGCATTTCGGTAATGATGCTGTCGACTGCGCAATCCCATTCGTGCGATGCGTTTCCTAATCGGTGTTTCCCAACTATGTAATTTCAACCGAACAGGAGAAGGACTCGGGGTAGTGGTGTAAGGAATTCCAAGAGGACTTTAACCGCTGCTTAATAGACCTTATCATGCCCTATTATATACCATTTAAGAAGTCGGAGCTTTGGGATGTTCTATTCGCCCTTTGGGGCCCCAAGACCCCTGCTCCTCACTATCATTATTACGTGCGCCTCTCCTGAGCGTGGGCAGCCGCCGTTACCGCCGCCATAGTAGTCGGGAGCCATTCCCCGAGCACCTGGAGGTGCATTTATGGGTGTCCTCTGGCACCTATACTTCTGTTTAATGGCTTCTGTAACTGTCATTTGAGGGGAGCCTTCCGTGGCGTTACCCATTGTATTTCCATATGGCATGGGGTACTACAATAGGAAGGTGCTGATAAGTGCCCTGGGGGTAAAATGAAAATGTTGGCCCCCTGCCTGTAAACCGTCGATCACCCGGCGCTGCCCGTTCTTCGAAACAAGCGACATGTTTTGCTGATAAATCTAGAGTCCCGCCGCTTAACGTGGTGGAACCTGAATATGTAAACCTTGACGAACAGAATACCGTACCTGCCAGGCTACTCTGTCTCTGACAACACCACCCCTCCCTTCCTCCCTTCCTCCCTCTTTGATGGAGGAGGAGGATATGAATTAGTGGTCACGTCGGTTTCTTTATTTAACAGCAACAATAACACCACCACTGACAACAAAGACAAAAATCCATCCTCGCACCAGGTGCCAAGCTGCTGAGAACTGCAGGCGATCGTGGCTGGCTCTTTTTGGCAGAGGTCTCGTTCTGAATTGGACGAGTGGCATGGTGAACGCCGTTCATCGACCTTGTTGCGCTCTTGTGGCAAGCGCCATGAATTTGGGCTGTCATTCCACAATCTCCTGGTGTTTCCGGACACAATCGTACCATCTGTTGTTATCTGATCTTGTGATGAGTGGATCTCCTTGTAAGGAAGCACCTGCATTGGCACATTAATGCTGCCCTGTCTGTGATCTGTTATCGGATTGTCTTCATTTGATTGAGGAACTAGCAGATTACTTGTTAAATACCGGCATACGTTTCCCATCATTCGACTCCACCGGCAGATGTGAGGATACTTCGGCCGAATCAAGCCCGGTTGCACGCGCTGCCTCGGTGCATGCCCGAGCAACTCCTGTTTGGCTGGGTAGTGGCTAGAGGGAGCTGAATGGGTCAAGTAGAGACTGTTAAAAAGTATACTGTGGGCCAGCAGATGTGGTGCAGGGCAGGAGACTTGTTTTGATGAGATCCCTGAGAGAGCCAGACCGGTATTTCACTCGGACCCTCTGGATACTTGCTAGACCACCAATAGCTCGGCCCAAATAAACTTTTCCACCGTCTCCGCGCTTTTCCTTTGTGGATCAGCACTTCATCTTTGTCGGGATGGGCCTTTGCCCGATTTTAAATCAAGGCTCAACCCAGGTCCTTGTGAAGACGAGACTTGACACGGTTTTTGTTAGTTTTATTTTATAGCGTGTAAGAAATTGACGGATGTAACTTTAGTAGTTTGGCAACTGATAGGGCGCGGCCGGGGGGGGGGGTGTACGCGTGCTGGAATATTATTACATGTGTTAATTCACATACTAAAGTAAACTGAAGGGGAGAACAAAAAAACTATTTCGAAAGGAAATGAAATAAAATTGTGCATGATATTGGATGTTGTGTTAACCCCACCACCCACTCTGTCTGAAAAGGCTGTACTGGACCTTTGGAGTGTAAGGGATACTGCCTTGGTGTTGGCGGTGTGCCTTGGGGTAATGGTTAGAACACTGCCGATCCGGTTGGATCTTATCTTATGTAGGTTTATATAACGTCTTACTCCAAGGCCCTTTACAGCAATTACACAATTGTACATTAGATAGTGATTGCGATTTAAAGAGTGGGGTTATAAAGATGGTGGTGGAGTTATGGTGACAGGAGAACGGGTGGGAGTGGTTAAGGAGGGGTAGTGGTAAGGGGGGTAGGGTTTGGGGTAGTGACAGTGATTGGGGTAGTGGTAGGGGGTGGTGGTAGGCCTGATCGTAGCTGGTAGCGGTAGTGGTAGGGGTAGTGGTAGGCCTGATCGTAGCTGGTAGGGGTAGTGGTAGACTTAATAGTAGCTGGAGTGTCACGAAGTGGCTCTTTTAGGAGCTGCTTTGTGACCGTTATTTATTAAGGAGCCCACCGTGAGGCTCTTCTTCACCACGTGCATTGCGGCTCTTGGAAAAAAATTAGTTTAATATTTTTTTATGGAATTCAAAAAAATGTGCTCCTTTTGTTGTTTTGGTGGTTGGCCGACCCTTGGGCTCGGGAGAAGAGAGATGGGTTGTGGGGTTAAGTCGCGGCACTGCAAACAACGGTGAAAGTTTCTTAAATCCCACCCATTGCTTCTGTTCCACACAGCAGTAAAAACGGGAACACCAAATTTTGTAGGCTGCGTGTGGGGGAGGGGGGGAAGGGAGGGTTGGGGGTAAAGCATCGCTTTAAACACCGTTTAACACGGAGGCTTTCGCAACCAATATTATTTTTGGGTAATAAATGTCTTTAAGCCCACCACCACCACCCGACACAGCCAATTGGTAAGGTTTGTCACGTAAAAAACACTACTTATTGGCTGTGGTGGGTTTAACGATCTAACCCAAAACTAAATTCTCTATTCCAACCCAAAAACTTCAACACATCCACTCAACCTGGATGCCATGGGCCAAACTACCAAGGCAAGGCACACCCCCTCCGTATAGGTGCTTGCTCTGGAGCTGCCTCTAGTGGGGAGGCCCTTCTGCCAGCAGCGGTGTGCGTAAGCAGTTGCAGGGCTTTGCCTTTAACGTTCTGCAATGAATTTCCCATCTTTGAATAAGGAAATATTTTTAGTCCAAGAAAATGACCAACTGCCTGTATACATAACAAAAAATCCTAGCCCAGATGTGAGTTAATATTTACGTATGCAGCTGTTGATTGACACGTGCCCATGCCCGTGTTGCAAGTAAATTGGCCATATGTTATCGTTAGCATGGTTGGCTACGTACGCTGCGAAATAAGTTCTGCACACATACATTGGTTAAGAGAGAGGTCTGTTGAGGTTTCTCCTTGCGTAACTGCGTGCCATCATCTAGTCCAGAGTCTTTTTTTTTAATGCTTGCATGTGAATCTCCCAGGTGTCTGGAATAATTCCAGGCAGGGACATCGCTTTGCTTCGGGACACGATAAAAGCACGAATTTTGGTGTGTAATTAGAGGTTAGAAGCCAGCCAATAACCGCAACAAATTGTATCCAGCGAGAAACCTCTTATTAGTGGCACAATGGAGGGTAACTTTTCGCCGGGCAGCAATTCCCCATGTTTTAGCCCATTGCCGCTGGTCACACGAGCGTGCTAATCGTAGTCCAGAATTTTTTTTAATGCTTCCATGTGAATCGCAACCTGTAGCTGCTGCCTGATGAGGCTGGTTGTGATTGCCAGCAAAACATCATGGTACTCAACTTGTAAACGTTATGGGTTTACTCCCCAACACGACCAGTGCACTGCTGAACTAGCAACAAATTGGCACGTTTTGCGTTACCCGACACAAACCCTTAACTAATTGGCTGTGTCGGGGCGGTGACGGGTTTAACGACGCATATTTATGCGATCTAACCCAGAATTGCCTCTAATGGATAATAATGGGCGCGAAAGCTTAGCGTGCGTTTCAACTCGCAGGAGTTCTTCTCTATGGTTGACGTCAGTGTACCTGTCGCAGGGCCACGGGCATAGGCAGAGTACTCCTTTTGACTTAGCCACTTGTGCGCCTGCCCCATACCGCCTGAATAACCCCCCCTCTTCTCTACTACCCACAATGCCTCGCTTCCTTCTCAGCACCACGAGGGGGCGCAGCGTGTGGGCAAAGTTGCCGCCGTGGCCTTAATCGTCGAAAATTGCTCCATAAACAAGCAAAGAGGAGAGGGGTTACAATCATTCCTGTACCTGTAATCTGTTTTCCATCCTTCCTTTCTGCTGTCTGTTCAACTTTGAAGCACTGTTTTAAGCGTTCGTCTGAAATATAAATAATAACCACGTGGCAGCTTGTCGCTTGAAGCTGTGTGCTGTGTCAATTTAGGCCTAGACCACCACCACCATCACCCCACATTCCCCTTCACTCGTGCAAGATGCTTTTACTTGCTTGACTAGGAAGTCCGTGTTTGTTGTGACCTTTCTATGTCGGTGAACTAATCGTACGTGTGCATGTCGCACATTCACCCCTCTTGTGCAGGTGAAGAAGAAGGCTCCTGGGATAATGGACTCACGTACGAATGTCGCACTCTGCTCTTCAAAGCCATCCACAACCTGCTTGAGAGGTGAGCGCGTACTCTGCGCGCACACGCGTGAGCACGTACGCATGGGACAACTGCGTAGACGTGTGCATATGAACGTCTGCGCAGACGTCTTGACAAGGCCGCAAGATTTGGGGGGGATGCGTGTGGGATCCGTTTAGTCGAAAGCACGTTTTTTGACTGGCGTCACGCTTCTCTGCGGGCATCGGCAAACGCCCACAAGCCACTGTTAGAATTTACCAAATTGTAGGTCGTAGGCTGCTCGGGACAACATTAAACTGTACTTTTTATTTTGCCAGATAAGGCCCACTGAGCTGTCTAGTTCTCTTTCAGAAGCAGCATGGCCATCACAAATGATAGCTCAACGAAGTGACGACTCTATAAACGCGTGTGATGTTGATTCTAAATGTGGACGGAGAAAACCGGTGGACCACAGGCGTCGGGATTAAACCCACAACCTCCTGCGTACCAGGCGAGGTCAAATGAAAGCAACTCCGGTTTCTTCCCATGCACTTTATTCTCTGCGTTTGAGAAAAAAAATTGTCTATTCACTTCCTGGATGCAAACCTCTGCCCACTCCTGAATCTCAAAATTTTATCAGAAGGTCTTTTAAATGTGCGGTTGAATCCTCTGTGTGTGTGCAGCCCATCTTTAGCATGAGCGGTAAATTAGTTTTATGGTTTGTAAAAAAAATATATACTTTTTAACTGCTTATTATTTTAATAAAAATTGTTACACGAAATGAACAATGTTACGCCTGAGGTCCTAATTGCGCGTTTCATTCGTTCCTCCAGGTGTTTGTTCAACAAGAGCTTTGTTCGCATTGGCAAGTGGTTCGTGAAGCCGTACGAGAGGGATGAGAAGCCGGTGCAGAAGAGGTGAGTCCATCGCTTTGCGCTGCTGTGTGTATCGTCTCTGGTTTGGCCTGCACGGTGTACAGCTGTGCTCTCTCCTGTGTTATGCACAGCTCGCTGTCCAGACTACTTTGGGTATAGCCAATCCGACGTCCAGTGTATATACCCCGCTGTCCCAACTGGCTGTGTGTACACCCCGTTGTTCGGCCGGCTGTGTGTGTCGCCCGTTGTTCGGCCGGCTGTGTGTGTCGCCCGCTGTCTGGCCGGCTGTGTGTGTCGCCCGCTGTCTGGCCAGCTGTGTGCGTCGCTCGCTGTCTGTGGCCGGCTGTGTGTCACCCGTGAAACGTCTGCTGGTCCGGTCCGGTCACAATTGGCCATGTGGTTCTGGGCATCTCCGTGCTCTCGCTTGGTAGCCACGTGGGCAGGGAGAAATTCTCTCCCTCACAAATGTGTAGCCCCTGGCCCCCCACCAAGGCCTTAATAAGTAAATACTACGATTTTTTTTTTAATTGCCACGTAAGCCCCCCACTGAGCTATGTAGCTCTTTTTCGTAAGCGACCTGGCCACCACAAATTATAGCCCCAACGAAAGACGTGGCTTATCATGTGGACATGTCCCATGCCAAATAGTCTAAATGCATGTTTCTAAATGCGAAGGGAAAAATCCACACGACCACAAGGGGAGAGAGAGACTTGCAAACTCCTAATATACAGGCGTCAGGGTCGGGATCGAACCCACGACCTCCTGGAAACGTGGCGAGCTAGTTAACATCTCCCAGCCACCGCGGCGAGCGTTTCCCCTGTTGTTTTTCCCCGATTGGTTCAGAACCAGAATTGAAATTATTATTTATACTGGAGGAATCATTCCGTTTATGTTGGGATAAAAGTGGAGCTTTGGCGACTGTGGATACAGCGCTAGGAACCCACACACCGCACTACCAACCCGGCACACCCGAGTTCGATTCTCATCCACGTCTACCATCGGTGGTGAGTGATATCTGAACCAATCCTTCGGTGGCATAACAAAATTTCAGTCTTATATCGGTCCCTATTAAGTTATATTATTGTTCCTTAAGAGTGGGTGAGGGTGGCGGTGAATCGTGCCGCTAACTCCCTCCGAAAACCCGAGCTCAAGTGAGCTGGAGTATCCTTTATTGTTATTTCAGCAGCTGCAAGCATGTTCTGAAGGTCTCGATAACTCTGCAAACCTGGATTGTGGCAGCAGCAGCGAACGAAGCACAACAATAACACGGCGTCCCCTTCCATCATAAGTTGGCAACTTATGCCCAGGGGGACGTGTGTACTATCAATAGCTCAGGCTCACCTCGGATACCCTCAGAACGCTACGGATTTCCGACCCCCCCTCCCCCCGGTGCCTGGAGATGTTTGTATCTCCGCACCAGAGCGCGCAGTGAAAGTGATATCTTCATGGGCATCTTCATCGGCACGCTAAATACAAGGGTTTAGACGGGGAAGAAGTGCTGCACTGGTGGTACGTGGAGCGCAGCTTGCTTTGCCAGCGCCGCCTGTTCACCGCTGACTCGCCGAGCGTTGTCGAGTTCCACCCGGCGCTACGAGGGTAGAAGCAGAGTCTCGTTGCCGCCCCCCCCCTCCTCCTCCTCCGGGCTCGCAGCTCACCGTCGGTCGTGGCGTCCCCTCTCTGCTCCCTCGCCCCGCCCCCCTCGTCCCCGCCTTGTCTCCGTGGTTGCAGCGAGCACCTGTCCTGCTCGTTCTCCTTCTTCCTGCACGGGGACAGCAACGTGTGCACGAGCGTGGAGATCTGCCAGCATGCGCCGCTCTACCGCCTGGACGTGGACCTGCTCGACCTGGCCAGCGCTTCGAGCTCGCCCCTCAACGGTAAGGAGACGCGCACCCACCCCCCGTCGTGTCCGGCAGCGGCGGCGGTGGTAATCGGTGTTCAACAAAAGTATTAAAACGATAAACTAAACTATATAAACTACTTAAGAGAGAAAGACGTGCAAACTCAATTTCCAGCAGGCGTTGGGGTCTGGATGGAACCCGCGACGTCCTGTATCCCAGCCTGCTGCGCCAACAATGAAAATCAGTGTAGATCAATATAATAAAATCCTAAACGGCTCTATAAATCGCACACGGGTAAATATAGTAACACTTTAAACATCTCCATAAAACATTACAAACACGTGTTGCGTGGAGTGAAAGGTTATTTTTACTGGATGCTTTTTAACACAATGTAATGATATAAACAAATTGGTACTGTACGGGCATGCACGTCTGCACTGTACACACGGGCTGCGTTGATGTTTGTTTTTGCTGCCTTGCCCAATCTTGACTCGCGTAACGCAAACATTTATTACTGTTTAGTGACTTGCTTGACGGTGTTCTCTCGCACTCCCGATTGTGTTCTTGCAGTTGTTTGCTGTAGTCTGACCCCGTCCATACCGCGACATCTGTTTAAATAGAAAAAGGAGATTCATAGCTGATCTGATTCCTTGTACAGTCTAAATGAGGATGATTCTAATTGTGATGTCTGAGGGAAGTTAAAAAACGGACGTTGGACGCTGACAAAACACTGTAGCGAAGGAACGTGGGAGAGAGGCGCCTTTAGAGAGACGGCGATGGGGGCTGGGGTGGGGGTGGAAAACGCGTGGAGATGACGACACTTCCGGCGCCACCTACCGGGCGCGAGTGTGAATTTCAGCTCTGGGTGTGGGTCCTAGAGAAGGGAGGCTGGTGAGAAACGATTCCAAACATTTAGCTGACGTGGTCGATGTACATGCGAAAGTACGTCCAGGCTGGAGAGAAATGATTCCAAACATTTAGCTGACGTGGTCGAGGTACATGCGAAAGTACGGCCAGCCGAGGTTATTTTTTTAAACTTACACCTGGAGCATTTGGTAATACCGGCGAGGGCGGGGGGGGGGGGGAGTGTGAGATCATTTTTCGACTTTTGTCTCGCAGTGATCCTGAGCCCGTACGGCCTGAACGCCGTGCTCACGGGTCAGGCGTACAAGCGCAGCGACGCCAGCACGCGCAAGCTCATCGAGGAGTGGCAGCAGTTCTACCCCGTGGTGGCCACCAGCACCGTGGGGCCCGGCAGCAGCTCCGGCTGGGACGGCATGATGGGCGCCGGCGCGGCGTCGTCGGCGCCGGGGGGCGGAGAGGACGGAGCCTCGGAGCCCATGCAGGATGAGGACGCGCCCGTCGCGGTGGAAGTCCTCGTCGGTGAGTGGGGCCCTCCCTCGCCCCCCATCGTCACACCCCCGTGGCGGTCTCCCGCCTCTCTTTAGCTGCCTTGGTTTTCTGTGTCTCGTGCGGCTGAATACGTCTCTCTCCACAGGGTCTCCAATGAACCCCGTGAAGGGTCATAGTGTGAACGTAGCAACAAGTCGCTATTGCAAAGGTCCGGTTGTCTGTAGAATACGTTTCTCTCGGTGAAAATAGCCCCGAATTGATTTTAAATAGGGGATGAGGGATATGTTCCAGTTAAATTGATTCGCGCGTCTGACCGCTGGCTTTAAGCTGTGCCCATCGATGCTTTTTTTCAGAAGGCTCCGTACATCCGAGGTTCAATCGCTGGTCAGAATATATTATTTGGCAGGCTTGATGCTGGTCGGCTCTAGTGAGGTGTTGCGTTATAGCACCGACACTTCTCAAAGTTGTTACAATGCCCGAGTTCTTTCTTTCAGCTTCTTTAGGTTTATTTCGGTAAAGCCCATATAGCCAACGAGTCTTTATTTCTCCTTCCAATGCCTTGCGTCTCGTGCACATTTTGATGCCGTTCTAATGGCAGTCGTCGTTGTTGTTGTGTAGCGAGCCCCAGCACTGGCTGGAATTGATGCTTCACGGCGGAGCCGCAGCGTGTCTCTGGTGATGCCTGTGAACGCCGCTGCTGCCTGCTGCTGCGCGTAACGACGAAATCCTCCTTTTCAACCATCGCGTTAGCGCGCCGCGCAATTAATCCCATGGACAAAGTTCGATTACTGCTCACGGCCAACATTGGTGATGAAAATAACTGAACCCGGTCTTGGGCCCTCCCCTAGGTCCACTCGGCCTTGAATTTAGTTCCTGGTGCATTGTGTAGACAGCGCTGAGGAGACACGGAGGCAGCAGGGCGTGATGCTGGCCACCACCCCCCCCCCACCCCACTCCCACCCCCTCGTGTGCCTTGCCGGCCTTAATGGATGCTCGCCAACAGCACATGCGCTGGCAGTCTGCTCATGGCTATGTCGCGTGCTTTCGGATGTGCTTCTGCGGCCGTGTGCAATGCTTTTCCTTCCGATGTTAGGAAGCCACTGGAGCTACGCACTTTTAAATCGTCTAGATTGAACAGCTTATTTCTTTCGAATTACTTTTTTTGTTTAGTTTGTTCCCCCCCCCCCCGCACCTCCGATGAGCACTGTTGACTACGTACGGCGCGACATAGAAGGCCTACATACCGTTACGTACTTACGTGTGAGACCTACGTTGCGCTCTGCTGCAGGCGGCGTGCGCATGGTGTTCCCGGCGGCGCTGGTGCTCGTGCCGCAGAGCGAGGCGCTGCTGCTCGCCCCGCTCTACCCGCCCGGGGGCGCACGGGACCCCACGTCGTGCGGCACGCTCACGCCACCCACGTCGCCCCCGCACGCCCTGCTCGCCGGTACGCACGGCCACGCGCACTCGCCCCGTAACCCGCTTCGGTCCGCCTCGACCCATCCCTCGCCACCCTTCCCCCTTCCTGCAGGCCCGCGGCTGCTTCCCGTGTCCTCGGCAACTCCCCCCTCCCCACGACGTTTGTACCTCGATCTACATAAACCCTCCTGCGGTACTGTACCTCCATGCAATTCGCCATTGGTAGAATAATCAAACCTCCTTACTCCCGGTGATTAAATTAATTGGTGCGATTTGGGGGTCACGGTTACATTTTAAGAATCCCATTTTTTCTTCCAACATTGCTGTGAATGACAGCGCCTCCCGGTAGGTGTTCCGTGATCCGTTTTTGTTGTATACGTGCGGCGGAACATTGATTCTGCACGCTCAATTTTTTGCATTTGTTTCACGCTGAAGAATCCATGTTTCACGAATGGTTGCCGTTGTATTCCTATATAATTTCCCCATTCCATGTCTTTTTCCTCCTTTGCTGGTTAGTCTACCAGGTTGCTCGTTGGCCTTAACTAGTAGCGGTTTGCCGTTCGGGCCACGGAATGTGATGCCGGAGAGTTTTGAGGTGGGACACAAAGTGCCCCGGCCCACTACCCCTATCAGCCATCTGAGTTAAAAAAAAAAGTATTTTAAGTGAATTAAAACCCCCCGGGCACAAAAAGAAACTTGCACGGAACATCCTCATGCAGTCTCTTCGCCCCTAAGTGCGTTGCTTTGCCTATCACTATCGTTAAATAAGTTCCTTTTCCCCACACGATAGAGATGGCAAAAGAACTACTAAATACTCAACTGTCTCTCCAAGCCCCCCCCCCCCCCGTGTTCCTCCCCGTGACTCTCGGCTCCATCCTCAATCTCCTCAAGCGCACCCCTGTCCTCCGCGTGTCGCCGTAGCTCCGTGCGTGCTCCTCCCTCCTCCTGGCTCCGTGTGCCCCCAACCACAACCCCCCCGTGTCGTCACCACATTGATCTGCCGTACAGACCTGTGTGTGCTGTTTGTGTTGGTTGTGGGGTCCTACCCTAGATGTCTGTAATCGCAGTACACCCCGCGCGTGCGCTATTTTACTCGCGCTACGTCGTTGCCGCCTTCCCTCTGTGCACCAACAAACTTTGCTTTATTGCTCTGATAATTTCTAAATGAACCGAGGGCGTTCTTGTCGATGCCCGTCTTTCATTCTTGAAGTTAGAAATCCGATGATTTCCTGTGTCATATGCTTTTGATGAAGCGATGAAGACGCGTCAAGGTATTTACCACCTTGTCCAAAAAGCCGTAGAGTTTTCTTAACTCAAGCTGCAGTGGCTAATGTGGCAATGTGACCTGGCTGAAAACGTGATGGGATTTGGCTAGAGGAGGAATCGTGCCGCTTGAGACGTGGAGTAGTTTTTCTACGACTATTTCCAGCACTCGGGACAATATCGTGCAGATAAGATGTTTTATTTGTTGTCTGCTTGAGCTTTTAAGTACCGGACAGACACGTGGCAATATGTGAAATTGAGAGATTAAAAAAAACACATCCCTGACTGGAACCACAGTGCAACTCTTTGCCAGTTTTAATGGAATGTAATGGGCCCATTTAAATATATTTTCTGAAGTAAACGGTGCGAGGTGCGCGATGAATCGGAAACCCCACGGGACGGGGGGTGGGGGGGGGGCGTGAGATCACGTGTTGGCAAAAGGGAAGTACGATGAGGAGACGCCGCTGCTGGCAAAGGCATTCCCCCACCAACGCCAGTTGGCAATCGGGGAAATCTCTCGCAGTGTTCTGCTTACGCATGGTGTGACCTCACTCATTTTGCCCTTTACCAAGAGGACCGACCGTACCGTTCCAGAATTTGACGATGCGTTAACTTGAGCGCAAATCCGATAGCCGGTGACTAAAAAACCTCTAACTGATCATTTTCTTCTAAAATGTTTTTGAGTTGGCATTCAGGTTCTGTTTTTGCCTAAAAGTGCCCCGAGTCCTTGGGCTGTCCACAATGATTTGGGTTGGAGGCACGACCAACTGGAGTGACAAACGGCAAAAATAAAGCGACACTTTTGTTGCTAAATTTCCACTCTCAGTGATGGAAAACCACCGGCCCCTATTGGCCGCGCATCGTGGAGACTTCTAACTCAACATCCAATGCGGGGGCGGGTGGGGGGGGTGGGCCGGTAGTGCGGCCAGCGGCACAGTCTACAACCTGCTTGTGTTTGCCTTCCTTGTGCGCTCGCGTTGACCACATTGGCGCTGTACCTACCGATGTTTACTTTAGGCCAAGTCTTCTCCTCGGGAGAAGCTCCCAGGGGAACATTCACAATTTTTTCGCTGTTGATTGTGGCACCGAGTCAAACCGCCGTTGGCACGGTTGCCTCTCCGGCTCCCGCTCCCATTTTATGTGCGGGGAGAAGGAAAAAAACTTCACTCGTCCATCTCCCCATCACCACAAATCATAGAAACTATTTTTGTTTTATTTTACCAGATACGGTTCACTGAGCTATACAGCTCTTACAGAATGATAGCTGAACGGAAGTGGCTTATCACGTGCAAATGTACAGGAGCCAGATACTCTGTACGCGTGATGTTGGAGGGAAAAATCCACGTGACCACGGGGGGAGAGAGACGCGCAAACTCCACATATACAGCAGGCGTCAGGGTCGTGATCGAACCCACGAACACCAGTATACCAGGAGAGAGGTAGTTAACATCTCGCCACCGTGCCGAGATCATATCCAGAGTAATTTCTTGAGCCGCCCCAACTAGAAGACACCTGTAAAAAAAAAGATCTTCGTAGCCTTATCGGATGTATCTAGGATATAATAAACAATTCTGATTGCAAATTTTCCCGCAGACTACTGCGTGACCATGCCGATGTCGCGGTCGGGAGGGCCGGGCGGCGCGGCGCCACCGGATGTGCCAGGTGGGATCCCGTCGGCCGCGGCCATTGCCGCGGCCGCGGCGGCGGCGCTGGCCGCCGGAGGCAGCAGCCCGGGGCACGCTGGCGAGAGCGCGCACAAGTGGGCCAACTGGATGGTGGAGCACTCGTGGGAAGAGTACAACCAGGACAGGACGCCTCTCAAGTGAGTGGCAGCATCGTGTGCCGGCAACGACGACTGCTGCGCTCTCTCACGCGTTGCCAATCTGCCTGCCGCGCTCTCTCCGGCGGCGTTCTTCACCGTTAGAGGTTGTTCTTTTGGGGGGTTGGCTCGCGCAAATATCAACGTGTCGTTAAACCCGGCACCACCACTCGACACGGCCCATTAGTAAGTGAGGTTCGTCACGTAAAATAACGTGTCACTTGGTTACTGGTTCAGCACGCCGGTATGTTGGAGAGTAAACCCTCAACATTTACAAAACCCCCGCGGGCCACTGGGTTTACACCGGGTGTACTGAACGAGTGCGATTGGCACATTTTGTTTACGTGACAAACCTTACTAATTGTGCTGTTAGGTTTAACGACGTACTTGTATTTACGCGATCTATCCCGAAAAAACCTTTAATAGCTAATATTTGTTGCGAAAGCCTACTTGTTAAACTGAGTTCTTCACTAATTGTCAGAGGGGAGGTCGGGGGTAGGGGAGACGCTCGCTGACAAGACATCATCAGTGTGTGGGCCGCCACATTTGAAACCATTATGGGGTGTGACAGCATCGTGACGATGATGATGGGGGGTGGTGGGGGTGTTCTCACGCTGTCTTGTCGGGAGCCGCACCTCGGGGCCGCACGAGAGGCCACCAGGGGCCGCCAGTGGCACCGCGGGGCCTTGCAACGAAGAGCACTGCTCTACGGGTGGCTCTCGTGACGTGCATAGGGTGTGATTTTTCAAGTGCGCTGGTGCCTTGCGGTCGGTGTCGCAGGCGTACCCGCGCGATGGCGGGATCGGACGACGACGCTGCGTCGAGCAAACTCACGTCCTGGGATTTCCTGGAGCCGTCGAACCGAACGCCATGCTGCTGCTCAAGGTGCTGCACATGACCGCTGAGCTGCAATAGCGGAGCTACACTTTACCTGCACACTTGCTATGCATGTCCCTCTAGAATGCACACTGCACTCGTAATTTTACTTACGTTAAGCCAGGGAAGACTGCGAGCTAAGTTTGCACAAGCCATTTGAACAATTGGATGCAACTGCGAGAAGCATCTCTTGCGATGTTCTTCAGTTAATATCATGGACGAGATTGAAGGGAATGATGCCATGATCGCCGATGTGTTTGAGAAAGGACCTGGCTCGGAGAGAGTTGCTTACAAGGCAGTTCAACCGTGGGTCTACTCTATAAACAACTCTTAAGAATTCTTTGTTTCTTTCGCATTCCACTCGGACAGTATCGTTTAACCTTCAGTAGAAGCCATTATTTAGGCTCGTGCCACAGCAATGTTGCCACCACATGGCCCCTTGGATGGCCACTGTGTTGAACCCTCCAGAGTCGTCGTCAACCTACGGGCGACGGTGAGGCCCTTTCCCAGGTTTGCCGTTGTGCCGAACGTCCCCGACGGACTCTTTGACTCCGACCCCAACAGGCACAAGGTGCAGAGGCAGCGTAGCGGCGGTGGGCAGCTGAGCGCACGCCCCGCTCCCCTCTCGGGACCCTCCGGACTCGGCGGCGGCGGGAGCTCGGGGCCGTTTGGCTCGCTGTCGCAAGGCCCCGGCGGTGGCTCCTCTTCCCTCCCCACTTCCTCGAGCTCCACCTCTTCGTCGTCCGGCTCCACCCTCCCCTCGTCCAAGCACAAGCCCTGCATGGAGAAGGGCGACAAGGGGGGCGGGGGCGGCGGGGGCGAGCGAGGGACCCCCAAGGCGGCGCGACCCTTCACGCCGTTCCACCACCGGGCCGAGGAGAACGCCGCGGCCGGCGCCGGCGGCGCTGGTGGCGCCGCGGGCGCCGGCGGTGGTCCCGGCACCGGCTCGGCGGGTCTCTTGCTGCCCGAGCTCGAGGCCATCGGGGGTGGCACCCCGAGGACCGCACACCATCACCACCACCACCACGCCGGCAAGGCCGACAAGCTGTGGTCAGCCGGGCAGGCGGGTGGCAAGGCCGCCGACGGCGGCGCCGGAGGCTCCGGCGGCGGGCCTCCGTTGGCCGCCGAGGTGGTTCAGTCGCCGTCCCCCCTGCCCCCCACGCTGAGCCCGCATCCCAGGTTAGGCCGAGACCTCGACGGCGTCGACGGCGTCGACGGCGTCATGCAGGGTGGAGGCGGTGGTGGCGGTGGCGCCGCCTGCTCCGGTGTGGGAAGCGCCGGTTGCGTGCCCGCCGCGGTGTTCTACCCGCCCGGCGGTCCTGCGCACGCGACCCCCGTTTTCCACGGCGGCGAAGACTCCTCCTCCCTCAAGGCCGGCCTAGCGGCGACGGCGGCGTCAGGGCAGCAGCAGTCGCAGCCGCCGCTGCACCACCCTCACCACCATCACCACCACCAGCAGCAGCAGCAGCAGCACCACGGCGGGTGCCACCTTGCGCTGCCGCCGGGCCAGGAGCTCGGAGAGACGGCGCTCTACGCGGGGCTGTGCCCCCCGCAGTCGCCCGCCTCTGCCGACACGCGGTCAATGGCGGCAGGGGCGACGGTGCCGGCGTGGTCCGTGTACCAGCTGCCCTATGACTGCGGGCCGGGCTTTGGGCCGCCCGGCTTGCCCAGCGGCAGGAGCAGGGAGCGGTGCGACGGTGGCGCCGGCGAGGACGGGGAGGGGGGCGACTGCCTCCTCCTCCTCGGAGGCGGCGACGACGACGATGACGACTACGCGCAGGCGGATGAGGCGGAGGCGCAGACCAGCATGTTGCTCACAGCGTACGTAGCACTGTACTTAAACTATTTCAACTATTTTAGATTTTGCCATGCAAGTCCCACTGAGATATATAGCTCGCTTGCAGAAGTGAACCTGGCCACAAACGAAGTGGCTTATCGCGTGGAAATCTACGGCAGCCAAATTCTCTAAACGCGTGATGTTGTTTATTCTAAATGTGGAAGGAAAAATCGGCTCCCTCCTGCCTCGACGATGGGCGTCGCACGGAGTGGCTACTCGTAGTACTACTACTCTAGTTCCCTGCGTAAGGAATGTGGAATTGCCTCCCAACTGGCCCAGGGTTGTAAGCCGAGAGACGAGAAACGGCCCGTTGCTTAAGCAGCTAAATACATTTTCGCCCATTTTCGACGTATGTGCGTACGTGCGCGTGTTGAACTTCTTTCGCGCCATACGTAGCCAACCGTGCTAATCGTGAGGTGCTGGAGCAGCACAAGAACAACAACAACCGCCGTTCATTGACGCTCGCTGTGTTCGTACAGATGCTCAAAGTAAGCGACGTTTTGTGACTGTTGGGGGGAGCGTCGGGGGGGGGGGGGTAGTGCCACCTCTTCCAACACGTCTGGTCGGACGCCGTGCGGAGCGCCTGCAAAGCGGGAGGACCCATCCACTCGCGGCGGCGTTGAGCAGAGCAAGCGGCCCCGTTAGAAACCACCACACCGTTAACCCCGCTCTCTTGTCTCCCTTGCCCTTGGTCTTGTTCGACGTTTCTGTCGGTGGCGGCGGTGGGCGGCGATTTATCCGACCTCAGGCTGCTCTTGCAGCCAAGCAAGCGGCTGAAGGTTTGCGAGGAGCGGCTGCAGATGCACCGGCAGATGCACTCGCGCGGCGCCCACTCGCGGCACGGCGGCGCCGCCGACGCCACGGCCGACCCGTACGCCTTCAACGACGTCGACGACCAGATCAGCATCGGGCCCGGCAAGAAGGAGCGGCCGGGAGGCGAGCGCTCGGCCAGCAAGAGGGCGCACCCCGACCACCGGGTGGGTGGCTTGCGGTGGCCACGCGTGCCAAGTGGGCGCGTGCGTAGTGGGCGTGTGCAGATGGATATAAAGCAATACCGTATTCTCCATAATATAAGACGCACTTTCCCCCTGCAATTTGCAGCAATTGTTGGTGGGGGATTTGGTGTTAGGAGGGGTGGCGCAACGGTTCGCGAGCCGCGCTACGAACCCGGCAACCCGAATTCGATTCCCTGCTCACGGCCGACACCTGACGATATCTCAACCGGTCCTGGGCCTCCTCTAAGTCGACTCGGTCTGAAATGAGTACCTGGTGCGGTGTGTAGTAAACATCGCCACTGGGGAGACAAAGGTGGCCGGGCGTGGTGCAGGCCACCCACCCCCTCGTGTGCCGTCCCGGCCTTAATCGGTGTTTTCTAACGCCACTTGGCCCAACAGTCTGCTAAAGCTACATGGGGATCTTTGTCTTTTGTGTGGAAAGCCAGTTGGTACAGTAGGGGGGCACAGGTGGTGTATCTGCCAGTCGTCTCAGTCAACCCATGGCACCTGTGTCCGTCCCTGCTGTGACATTTCACGTGGCCTTTAAGTACACAGCCTGGCACAAACGCCATGGTGATGGTTGTTGCGTGGGAAGCGGTAGTGTCGTTGTTTACTGCTCTGCGCTACATCATTGACGTACCCGTCCCCGAAAGTTGTGCAGTGCAGTAATATTCACACTGCAGTTCCTTGTTTTTTTTATTCTGCGCTTCTTTGCTCCTGACGCGAATCCGAATATTTATTTGTCCTGGAGAAATCCGATGAGCTATGAAGCTTTTTTTCCCACCGATGTCGAGTTGGGGCACAGTGTCAGAAAGTTACAAGAACAAACGATACCAAAAAAGTACATACGGTAAAGGTAAGAAAATTACAGAAAATAAATTAGTAAAATGGATTAAGTACATAATGTTCAAACTGCATGAGTACATCGATTCCAAAGCTTCTGCAAGGCAGCAACGCAACATCAAAGGCAGTCGCGGACCACAACAAAGACAACCACGCACGGTAGTTCCTCTGAAATTGCACATTAACATTGAACTATCGATCAACGGTAGCTAAGCAAGCGGCTGAAAGGCTCAACGTTACAAAGCCCATTTTTGCAAATGCAGTTGTGTCCAGCACTAATCTGCTGCTGCTTCCAATCCCTTTCTCCGGTGGCATCCTCTGCACTTTACACACGACAAACAATTTGTATCACCTCTCGCCAATCCCAGTCGAGGTTTTTTTTGTTGCGTGTACACGCACGCGCGTGTCTTATCATTACCGCGGGAACGTTTTGTTCGCGAGCGGCCTGCGTGCTTCGTGTTTGTTATTTTGCGAGTTGGGTTTTCCGCGTTGACGTTTGTGCGTTTGCTTGTTTTTGTGTTGTGTTCACAGACGGAAGGTCATGGTCTAGCGCCTGTGATGAACTCCTGCCTGGATAGCAAAGACGCCATGTCCATATTTAGCCCCGCTCCCAAGTCCGGTACGGTGCCCATGTGTGCGAGCGTGGGGTGCGTGTGTGGTGTATGTGTGGTTTGTGTATGGTGTACGTGTGGTGTGTGTAGTTTGTGTATGTGTGGTGCTTGTGGTGTGAGTGTGTAGCATATGTGTGTGTGGTGTGTCTGTGTGGAAGGGTGTATGTATGGGATGGAGTGAAGTATTGCGCGTAGGAGTGTGGGTGTATAATGCGTGTGTGTGGCAATGTGTGCGTTTATCCGTGGGGAGCAGTAGTGTAGCGGTTAGCGTGTTGCGCTGCGAACCTGGCTACCGGGGTTCGATTCCTGCTCACGGCCAACGCCAGTGATGATTATTTTAGCCAGTCCTGTACCCCTCTCCTAGATCGACTCGGCCTCAAATGAGTAGCTGGTGCGATGTGTAAACATCGCCATTAGGGAGACAAAGGCGGCCGGGCGTTGTGTTGGCCACCGTCCTTCATATGTGCTCGTTTAACAGCACTTGCCCCAACAGTCTGTTAAGGCTATATGAAGGGTCTTTGTCTTTGTTTTGTATGTTTGTGTTATTGCTTGCCCCAACACTCTGTTAAGGCTATATGAAGGGTCTTTGTCTTTGTTTTGTATGTTTGTGTTATTGCTGCGGCCCATACCCACAAGGCAACATTTTTAGCATTCATACTGCAACGCATCTTGAATAACACATTCCTGCGGAGGGAGCTGGTAGGAACGTTGGGTTGCTCGGTCAATGGCCAGGGTCAACGGCGGCGTGGTGTATTCCGCAAATATGCCCGACAGTGAGGGCGGGCACAAGCCGGCGTGAGTAGGTTAAACGTTGAGTTTATAAGGGCACCCAGCTGAGTGGTCTGGCTTGGCACATGATGTCATGACCATGCATCATAACAGACCGTTATTATAGTGCACCGATACATTTGTTGGTGTTGGAATTAACCTGATTTGCTCTGTGGCGCGATGTTCAGGCGTGGTCGCTGTTAGAAATGCCCGAGCTGTTTTTGACTATCGGTGTATAAACAACAAGCAGGAACATCAATCTGAGTACCATCTAAACACACTCGGGTGCTGCTAACGATCATACCACGGCGGCCATCGCCTTTACGTGCCACGGCAAAATAAAAACCCGTGCCTGCTTCACCGCACTTGGCTCGAACGATCTCCCTCAAGGTGAAGAAACGTTGAACTTTGGCGTGCGTGTTTGTGCGTGCGTGTTTGTGTGTGCGCGTCTGTGTGCGTACAGCGGACACGAGGCCCCGCAGCAGCTCGACGAGCCTCATGAGGGAGGTGGACCTGCGAGTGTCCTTTGAGGACCTTGAAAATCTCTTTGACAACTCCTCGGATGACGACATGGGGGTAAGGGACGCACGGGTAAGGGACGCACGGGGGGGGGGGGCACGCACTGATGGGATTTCTCCAGGGTTAAATAGAGATTCGATTGGCTGCTGCAAATATTATGTTATTGTTATTCATAATACAGGCTGTTTTGGGTTAGATCGCGTAAATAGAAATGTATATTATTGGTTATTTCGGTAAAGTCACGTAGAAGGGAGATAATAAAATAATATAAAACAATAAAAATTCTCACGACGTTTCGACTGCAACACAAGCAATCGTCATCAGGTGTGAAATCCACAGCAATAATGTTTTGTTTGTTTTATATTTAAATTATTTTATTATCTCCCTTCTACGTGACTTTACCGAAAGAACCAAGAATATGAATCCCTGCAGTCACGAAAGCTTTAAATCAAAATATGAATGTGTCAAACCCGCCACCACTCGAAAGACAATTTTGTAAGGTTTGTCACGTAAACAGAACATGCCAATTCGTTGCTAGTACAGCACGCCGGTGTGTTGGAGAGCAAATCCACAAGATTTACAATGAGAGTACGACGTTTCGCCAGTGATTACAGCTAGCATCATCAGGCGACATCCAGACTTTCTATTATATTCTTGGTTCTTTCGGTAAAGTCACGTAAAAAGGAAATATTAAAATAATATAATTATAAAACAATAAAAATTTTCACGACGTTTCGACTTCTATGTGACTTTACCGAAAGAACCAAGAATATGAATCCCTGCAGTCACGAAAGCTTTAAATAAAAATTTAGACTTTCTATTGTTTGTTGGGGAAAGCCTCATCGAGTCTCGGGGTTCTTTTTCAGGTGGGTCCTGCTAAGTTCACGCAGCGAGGGTGGTGTGACGGACTAGCGCGCACCTGCTGTCCTATCAGCGAGAATACAGTGGTCCCTCGGTTAACTGTTACATCGGTTGACGTGGTGCTGAGCCGTGCCCTCGGCCAATCAGTGATGCCCTTTTTATGAGAGTTTAAACCTCAACTGCCTTTGTTTACATTATAACGTTTTCTGTTTTGGCAGTGAATTCGATTCGTGGTTATTTCGGTTCGTAGGATTTTTCATGGAACGGATTAAAAACGTTAACCGAGTGACTCCTGTAATTTGCGAGTCAATTGGTCGATTTTACGGACCGGGACGCCGACACACGCGGCCTCTGCTCTCGTTCCGCGTAACGTCCCGAGACCGTTAATGCCCGCCACTACAAAGCGGACGGCTGTGCTTGAGCGCCACCATTTTTTCAAACGAGTGCCGCTACCGCCTGTGCCTTGTCGCAGGAGCCAATTGGCTCATTGGTCAAGCCCCAGTGCACACGAGCCGAGTTTGTTTTTTTGTTTTCGGCCACCTTCACCCGTTCGTCTTGTGTGCTCGTCTGTTGCGACTGTCCTCGTCTCTGCTCGTCTGCGTCGCGACTGTTCCCGTTGCTGCCACCTGCTCGCTCGCTCACTCGTGTTGCGCTCGCTCCCTGTGTGTGTGTGTGTGCTCTGCAGGGCCCATTGCCAGCAAAGGCGGCGCCCCCTGGTGGTGGAGGCGAGGAGAGGCACGCGTCGCGAGAGGGTCGAATGCCTCCAGCGCCTGCCCCTGCCATGCCTCCCTGTACACTGAGTGAGTAGCGCCCTCTGCCTGCTCAAGTCGTGCACACCATGGGCTTCCAGTGGGCCGAACTGATGGGTTTATCGGGTCTCGCTCGTTGCACAAAGCGCTTGCCACATGAACCACGGAACCTTTTGCTGATTTCGTCAAGGAGCGTAAACCAGCATCACGCAAACTTGCTCATCCTCGCAGAAGTAGCTTCTGGCTCGCGCTTCCAGATGCGCTTCTTGCGGCCGTCTGGAACGCTCTTCCTTCCGATATGAGGAAGCCACTGGAGCTATGCACTTTTAAATAGATGATGAACTAACAGAATCGGAATATTTAAATTTTGTATTGATGCTGGAGAAATCCGATGAGCCTATTAAGCGCTTTTATACAGATGTCCAGTTGGGGCATGGGGTAAGAATGTTACAACAACAAAAAATAGAAAAATAGAAAAGGTAAGCAAATCTAAAATAACATACAAATAAGCGACCTGGCTATCACAATTGATAGCTCAACGAAGTGGCTTATCACGTGGACATTTATAGCAGATACATATACAGCAACTAAACCGTCATATAAAGTTGTTTTGCCTCCGGTGCTTTGGGGCGGGGGTGGTGGGCTCGCCGTGTATAAAATGGGCCCATTTGATGGAAAGGCCGTCGAAGCCACGGAGACGCCACTCGCTAACCGGCTGCTCGGAGGAGCCACCTCGACGCGCCGTCCTCGCTATCAGAGGAGCGGCGCCCTCCCCGGCCGCGCCGCTTATCCGAGCCCCACCCCCCCGTCGCTTTTTCCTCGCAGCCTTCGGACAGGCGCACGGCCGTGACCGCTGCCATTCTCACGGCCTGCCTCACAAAGTCCATCCGATTTGACAAACTCACGTCGGAACACGTCAGAATCCATGCGTGCGTATTCTTTTTTCTTCCCCGTTGTGCTTTATTTTGTGTGTTTAATACCGGACTGTTTTGCTTTCCTTCGAAGGCTCGGCCGACCTGCAGCGAATGTTCCCCACGCCGCCGTCCCTGGAGCAGCACCCGGCCTTCTCGCCCGTCAACCCGAGCTGCAAGGACTACCTGAACCCGGACTCGGCGCCCGGACAGACGCTGCTCGACCCTCACGGTCCTCCCATGGCTGCCCAGCCGGCGCCCTTCCGGCCGGAGATCGAGGACGACATGGGCAGCCCCAAACCCGAGGAGCTGAAGGTAACTTCCCACCACCCACCTACCCCCCCCTGGTGTGGTGGAGACTTTGATTGTTCCCACTGTCGCCTGGTATAACCTGAGGTCGTGGGTTCGTCGATCTTGACCCCGACGCCTGCTGCTGTATATTTGGAGTTTGCGGTGTCTCTCCCCCTGTGGTCGTGTGGATTTTTCTCCGGTTCCTCCGGTTTTTCCCTTCACATTTTAGACATCGTGCGTTGAGAGTATTTGGCTGCTATAAATTTCCACGTGATAAACAACTTCTTTGAACTGTGTATAGCTCAGCTCAGTTTAGTTTACATTATAGAGTGTGTGGGTCTCCTCAACGTTGACTCCAGTGCCAACCAAGGTTTAGATCGCAGGTCTTACACCACTGCCAATGCAGTGTCTCAACCAAAAAAAAACTACAAACCTTTTCCCCTGAAAACGACCGCCCACGTGCTGTAAAGGAGGATCATTGCCATTAACGTCACCTCCCGTGGGTTTTTATTCCGGCGTTCAGTCGCTCCGATTGTGCCTACGGCGGACGCAGCCTGTCGGTGACCAAAGACCGCCGGGTTTAACGTCCGAACCTAAACCCATTTTATTTTTAACGTTCAGGGGCCGGCGCTGTTGACAACCGTGCGGTTTGTGTGCCGCCGTGGTGACGGTGGTGACGGTGGTGACGGTGGTGACGGTGGTGACGGTGGTGACGGTGGTGACGGTGGTGACGGTGGTGACGGTGGTGACGGTGGTGACGGTGGTGACGGTGGTGACGGTGGTGACGGTGGTGACGGTGGTGACGGTGGTGACGGTGGTGACGGTGGTGACGGTGGTGACGATGTCCGCCTCGTCCGCCCCTCTCCCCCCTCACCCCCGGCAGGACTTCTCGTTCGTGTTCCGCACCTCGAGGCTGCAGCCCTTCGTGGGCTCCTCCATGTTCGCGCCGCTCAAGGCGCTGCCCAGCGGGTGCCTGCCTCCCGTGCGCGTGCCCGACAGCGCCATCTACCGGCCCAGCTGGACGCTCTGCAAACTGGACCCGGCCATGCACGCGCTCGCCGCTCCCTACATACGAGACGTGTAAATACCTCACCCCCCCGTGCCCCCCGCTTTCAACTGTCGTCCGTTCAACTGGACCCGTGTTTTGTGAGAAGTGTGACGAGGACCGGACCGAGGCGTGTTTTTTTTATATCCGCGTGCGTGTGAATGTGTGTGTCGCCTGTAAAGTATCGCACGGCTGCACCTCGGAAATGCTTGGTCCGCACTCTGCAGACCCGATGCAAAAAGCGTCACGAACCCTCCCCCACCCCCCCCCCCCCCCCCCCCACGCTCTCTGCAGCAACCTTCCGAGCGTGGGCAGCCTGGGCGACCAGGACTACCTGCAGATGAGCACGCCGCAGACCGGCACCCCGCTGGGCGGCGCAGGCGGCGGCGGCAGCAACGGCGGCGGTGGAGGCGGCGGAGGTGGCGGCGTGCTGCCCTCGCCGGCGACGCCGCGCTTCTCGACGCCGAACCCGCGCACGCCGCGCACGCCACGCACCCCGCGCGGCCCCGGCGGCCCCGCCAGCATCCCCAGCTCCACCAACTACAACTCGGCGGGCGACCTCTACTCGCCGGCCGCGTCCACCCCCTCCACCTTCCGGCCCGTCAACTCGGTGGAGCCGCCCGCCACGACGGGGCAGGCGCTGCCCGAGGCGCACAGCCTCTACGTGACGCTCATCCTCTCCGACACGGTGCTCAACCTCTTCCGCGACCGCAACTTCGACTCGTGCTGCCTGTGCGCGTGCAACATGAACATCAAGGTGTGATTAATAAAAAAAGATTTATATTATTCGTGGAACTGCGGTATCGGTGCATACTAAGGTTGATGAGGTGTTCCTGCCATCTGTGCGAGTTTTTTTTTAATATATACAGGGACTTCTTTATTTACGAACATTCGACTTACTAACTTTCAGAGATGAAGAAACCTGTCCGTAAGTTCAACCGCCGTGCAATAGATGGCGGTGGTGGCATCTACATCTGCAGACCGTGAAGAGCCAGTTGCATCTACAGGAGATGATACAACTTTTAAAGCCATTCTCTGTGTTTAGTGGACACGCCGTACAACATGTTTGGAATTGACGGGAGTAAAGTTGCACTTACGAACAGACCTCTGGAACCTAACTCGTTCATAAGTCGAAGAGTCCCTGTGTAGGTTTTTAAAATAAATAGTTATTATAAAGCGAACCAGGATGTTCTGCACGCCAGAGTTCCCTGGTGTAAAAGCGAATTGTCTTTAAAGTTGCCACCCCGAGCTCTACAAGTACCGCCTCCCATACGCGCCCCTCCTAACCCTCCACGTAAATGGAAGGCATCGCCTAAGTCTCACCAAATTAAAGGTTTTTTTTTTTTGGGGCTTAGATCGTGTAAATGTGAATGTGTCGTTCAACCCGCCACCACCCGACACGGCCAATTGGTGAGGTTTGTCACGTAAACAAAACGTGCCAATTCGTTACTGCTTGAGTACACCGGTGTGTTGGAGACTATAAACCCACAATGTTTGCAATTCGAGCGCTGTGACGTTTCACCGGTAATAACGCCCCCCCACCTCCCTCCCCCCCCCCCACCCCCACCAAGGGAGCGGACGTCGGCCTCTACCTTCCGGACCCCGGCCTGGAGATCCAGCGCCGCTGCTCCTGCGGCTTCAGCGCCGTGGTGAATCGCCGGCTGGGCCCCAACGCGGGCCTCTTCCTGGAGGACGAGCTCGACATCGTGGGCGGCCCCCTCACCGAGTTCGGCCGCGCCGCCCAGCGGCGCCTCGAGTGCTGCGGCCAGACGGACGCCGATGGCGGCCTGCGCCTGGGGGCGCCCGACATCCTGGACTCCGCCTCGCAGGACACGGCCACCCTGGTGTCGCTGCTCGAGGACAGCTGCAACAACCCCTTCCCGCCGCTCGGCCTGGTCGCGTCGCCCTCGCCGCCGCCTCTCCCTCCGCCGCCGCTGCCGGGATTGCCGGGCCTGTCGGCGTTGCCGGGCCCCGCGGCGGGGCCCGGCGGCGCCGACGCCCTGCGGCTCGACCTGAGCGACGGCAGCAGCGAGTGCGTGATGGCGCTGGAGGCCGGGCGGCAGTACGTGGACAACCCGTCGGGAGGGCGCATGGAGGAGACGGCCGTCAAGGGGACGCTGCTGCACCACTGGCCCGAGCGGCCCGGTGAGCTACGGGGGGCCGTGCGGTTAGGGGGGTGGGGGGGCAGGTGGATGTACGTACGTCCGTTGAACTTTTTTCGCACCGTACGTGGCCGACCGTGCTAACCGGAGGTGCGAGGACAGTACTGATTGGCTGGGTGGGTGAAACACGGCTGCAGGTGGCTGGTGTGGGGAGTGGGGTTCGGGATGGTTGATAGTCTGTGGTTATCGTGGTGAAAGCAGCATTATAAGCTTGAGCGTTTGCATTCCCGGGTCATAATTTGAATGCCTCGTCAACTCAGAGCAAGCTTGCTCACCTCAACCATTCCATTGCCTTGCTCCGGCCTCGCCAAGGGACCCCCCCGCCCAGTGGCAGCTGTCCCTGCGCACCACGAGGTGAAACGAAACGACGACCTGGAAGTGGGTGTCTAGTCTGCCTGCATGTAGCAGGGCAATGTTGCTCGTTGACGATAAAAATTCGACCGAATTTGCTACCGTGGATTCCCGCAGCGGCACACACTGGCTCCTCCCCCCCGCCTCTCTTGCGAATTGCGTCGGCTTCGAATTGCGTCGGGAGCGTCCGCTAAGACGGACGCCAAGCGCTCGTGGTGGTGAACACGCCCCCGGACGGAGGCGCTCGGACCGCGAAACCTCCGCAACAAAGCCGGGCAATCGCGCTCCCCGGCTCGACCGCGTTTTAACCCATCAAGTTGACGACTTTCGGAGGTCGCGGTGCGCCGTCGACGTGGGGACGGGTCGGGGGGAATTTGCTCGCGCTTGTGACGTACTTGGCTCACTTCTCCGCGTGACCTGCTCGCGTTTTCCCCGTCCCTCGCGCCCTGCACGTCCAGCGGTGGAGGTGTCGTCGCTGTCGAGCCAGGACGTGGTGCGGCTGCTGGGCTCTCTGCAGCCCGTGCTGCAGGACGCCATCCAGAAGAAGCGCACGGGCCGGTCCTGGGAGAACGTGCAGCACGTGCAGGGCCCGCTCACCTGGCAGCAGTTCCACAAGATGGCTGGCCGGGGCTCTTATGGTGAGTATACTGGGGCGTGTAAGCGCCACATTAATTAAAATCCTTATGGGTGGGGGCCCAACTTTGTCCTTGCACCTGAATCTGTAAACCTCTAGGACCACCACCACCCCCCCCCCCCCATTGGTCTTAGATCCTGGGTCCCTCCCCCATCCCCACCCCGGTATGAGCATTTCGTGAAAACCGCACCACGACGCGCCCCGTCGTCACGCTGACGAGAGCAAACGCGTGATCATTTCCAAAGCGAGGGGTGCCCCATTCGATGGTCCCGAGCTATTTCACCCCTCCGACAAAGCCACGCGGGTCGCTGCCGCCTCCGCCGCGATTGCGCCGCTCGTCGCGTCACGCCCCAACTCCGCCCGTCGTGCAGGAACAGAGGAGTCTCCGGAGCCGCTGCCCATCCCGCACCTGCTCGTGGGCTACGACCGCGACTGCCTCATGGTGTCGCCGTTCTCGCTGCCCTTCTGGGACAAGCTCCTGCTGGAGCCGTTTGGGTCCCCGCGCGACATCGCCTACGTCGTGGTGTGCCCCGAGAACGACGCTCTGCTGCACGGAGCACGCAACTTCTTCCGCGACCTCAGCACCGTGTACGAGGTGAGGGTTGGTGTCCCGGCATCTTCGCCTCCTCCCCCACCTCCACCTGCACCGCCCCAGTGGCAGCAGCCAAGCCGGTGCCACCTCTCCAATGATTGTGCGTCGTAAACGTCGCTACAAGGGAGACAAATGCGGCCCGGCGTGTTGCTGGTCACCCACCCCCATCGTGTGCCGTGCCGGCCGTCATAGGCGCCGGCTACTCGCTCATGGCACTGGCCTATAAAAGAGGGGATCTTCGTCTCGTTTTGTGATTGCGCAGAACTGTCGCCTGGGCCTCCACCGGCCCATCACCAAGGTGCTGCGCGACGGCATCATGCGCGTGGGCCGCTCGGCCGCCCAGAAGGTGTCGGAGCAGCCGGTGGACGAGTGGTTCTCGCAGAACGTGGGCCCGCCCGGCAGCGCCGCTCACGAGGCCTTCTGCAAGCTACGGCTGTTCGCGCAAGTGTGCAGGCATCGCCTGGGTACGGGAGGAGAGAGAGAGAGAGCGAGCGTGCTTCTCGCACGGCACAATGCAACGACGTTCCTTCGCACTCGGCACGATCCACACTCACGTGCGCGCGTCCCTGTCGTCCGGTCCCTACCCGGTGGTTGACGACGGTAATAGTTGCAATGGGAGTTGTTACAAGATGCTCGTGAACGGAGAGCGCCTCCCTCGTTGCGTAGACGACGCAGAAAAAAATCCCACCGGCTTCGATCTTCCGCCCCCAATCTCGTGGGACCACAACCCCCTGAACCGCATCTTCACAAAACGTGGCAGCAGCAGCAGCTGCGGATACTTAAAACGCGTGCATGGAAAATTAAAAGATCGTCAGTGTGCGATGAATGTGGGTCACCCGGTACAGAACTGTGGAACGCGTAAGCGACATTTTCCATTTCTCGCGTGACGAAGTTGTTTTTGACTTCCAATTGCTTCGTTCTGTACACTTTTTTTAAATTTCTCTTTGCCACTTTGGTGACCCAAGTTCTCACTCCTGCAAACATATAGGACTCATCCTGGCCTCTCTAGAATTCCCAACATAGTTGAATAAAATAAATTAATGAAAACGAAATTAAACATTGGTCGCTCCCCCCCCCTACTTGGCCCAGTTCTTGGCATCATTTTAACGGTGATCTCTTCTGTTTACTGTTCACTGTTTTTATTTTACCAAGTAAAGCCCACTCAGCTATACAGTTACTTTTCAGAAGCGACCTGGCCACAAATGACGCACGTTTCTAAATTTACAGCAGGCATCAGGGTCTGGATCGAACCCACGACCTCCTGCATACCAGGCGAGGTATTTGACATCTCGCCACCGCGGCGCTCATTCTGCCTGCAGGCCCTCACCTTGCGACGCAACAGCTCGACAGCTCCCTGCTGGCGCAGTCGTCGAGCCAGCGTGCCCCGCCGCAGCAGCAGCCTGGTGCTTCGGCGGGGGCGGCCGCTGCCCCCGCCGCCGCAGCCACGGGCCCGAGCGGCGCCCAGGGCCCCGCGCAGGCCGACGCGAGCGGCGGCGCCGGGACCGCGGGCGGTGCTGGCGGTTGTGGAGCCGGTGCCGCCGGCGGTCCCGCTGGCGGCGGTGGTGGCGGGCCCAACGGCGGCGGCGGTGGTGGTCCCAACGGTGGCGGCTCGGCGGTGTTCCCCGGGTCGTCGGCTATGCCCGGCGGGCAGCAGCAGCAGGCTTCGTCACAAGCGTCCGGAGCAGGCGCCTGCGCGCAGCCAGCGTCCGGGGTAAGTGGCCCTGCCGTCTTCGTGTTGACACCGCTGCGGTTTCGTCTCGAGTTGGCCGGGAGGGTTTCCTGAGGGGTCGGAGTGCTCCTGAGCTTGACGACCGCTGAGAAATCCTGGGTTTGGTAGTGCTCCGAGTTCGCTCAAACTAGAAACGTATTTCCGTTCAGCGAGGATAACATGCCTGCAAGCGGATAGGTAAGTAACGCTTGCGGGGTCGTTTCGAGGTGGGTAGGCCCCACGTGTGGCTGCGATCCTTGATCAAATAAAATAAATTTGCGGGGCCGTGAGCTCTTCCCCCCCACCCTGTGCGAGGAAGAGAGCGAGGGAATGACATCACTTGTTTTGTTTCTTCCCCTCAGCAGCCAACCGGCATGCCGTCGCTGTCGCAAGGCATGATGGGAAGCCAGTCTTCCTTGCAGCCTCCCCAAAACTTCCTTGGTCAGGGGTCGACTGGAGCAACGCAAGGCATGATGGGAGCCACGGCAAGCCACCACCAGGTGCTCGTTTGCCCCCACCTCACCGCGCCACCGACGCGGCCGTTTCGGTTCGCACGTCGTTCCGGGTCTCGTCCCGCGTTGTCGTCATCCTCCACGGGGCCTTGTCGCTCGCGTAGCCGAGGACTTGAAGCCGCCTGCACACGAGACGATTTTTCACCGCTCCGGTATCTTTTGACGGCGTCCTCGGATCCGTTCCGCCGTTCCGTTCCTCGGCTGCCACTCCCCTCAGGATTCTTGACCCGTTGGCCATCAAGTCCCTACTTCTATCACCCCCCCCCCCCCCCCTGCCTACTTTGCTTAACAGTTGAAAAGTTAGCAGAGTTGACAGTTTTATCATTCGCTTGCATTGATGTGTGTGGGTGCTTTGGCACTGTATTTTAAGCTTAGAGCTGCAGTGTTGACTGTACTAAACTAAACTATAAAAAAACTATATATTTTATTTTACTACGCAAAGCCAATTGAGCTATGTAGCTCTTTTTCTAGAAGCGACCTGGGCCACATGATAGGCCAACAAAGTGGCTGATCACGTGGATATTTTCGCAGTAGCCAAATCATTTAACTGCGTGACGTTGATTCTAAACGTAGAGGGGGAAAAGTTGAATGAAAAATTTTGTAGGTAAGGAAAACATTTTTTCCAGGTAAGGCCCCACTGAGCTCCTATATGGCTCTTTTTTCAATAGCGTTTCAAGGTGGTAGGCCCAGAAAAACATGTTGATTCTAAACGTGGAGGAAAAAAAACGGAGGACCAGGAGAAAAATCCACGCGACCACGGGGAGAGAGAGAGACACGCAAACTCCAAATATATACAGCAGCAGGCATCAGGGTCTGGATCGAACCCCCACGACGACCCTCTTGCTAAACCAGGCGAGGTAGTTAACATCTCCTAGCGACGGTGGCGTACTTAAGCCAAGACGTTGAGAGGTTTGCATTTCGCTTGCTCCTGCGCAACGAATGCGCGCTCACTGTGGTGTTGTTTTTACTGTTACTCGTTGCTCTCAAGCAATGGTGGCTAATTTCATTGTGGCCGTTTTACCTCCCCTTTCAATTGCTGCAGGGCATGATGGGAAGTCACCAAGGTCAGACCCAGTCCGGAGGCGGCGTGGAGGTGGACGGAAGTTCGGCCACGTCACAACCGATGGACGTCCCCGACAGGTATGGAGCCACTTAATAACTCGGCTTGAAAGTAATTTCACGTGAAGCTTCATGTTCGCATCCCGGATTAGCACGGTTGGCTACGTACGGTGCGAAAGAAGTTAAACATGCACACATACAAAACTAAGCAACGATACAGCCGCCGAACTGAAATAAGTTTTGGCAGCTTAAATAAGTTTGGTGGCTGTATCGTTGTTTAGTTTTGTATTTGTGTATGTTGAACTTCTTTCGCACCGTACGTAGCAAACCGCAACCGTGCTATGTATATATTTTTAGCTTCTTTCGCACCCTACGTCACCAACCGTGCTAATCGGGAGATGCGGGGTCGGTGGAAGGACAAATGAAACAAATGGAATCGCCGAGTTGAAATGTCTTGTCGGGCTTTGCGGTTGCGCAGCACCGGCACGGAACGCGAGCGCGAGCGGATCGGCGTGCCCACGGAGGGCGGCTCGCTGGAGGTGCCGGTGCCGCCGGCCGTCGTGGTCTACATCGTCGACCCGTTCACCAGCGACGAGGGCGACGACGCGGGGGCGGGCGGCGGGGGGCCGGACGACCCCGCGCTCAGCGCGTCCGTGTGGACGCTCGGCCTCCTGCGCTGCTACCTGGGCATGGTGAAGCACCTGCCCAAGCACATGCGCGACGCCATGTGTGTGCAGGTGAGGCACGGTTGGGGGCGACTGAACGTCTGAATAACAAGGAATGATGGGTGACGTTTGGGGCAGTCGGCCCTCTTTCACAGGACGTGTGGACGATCATCTTCTGCGGGGGGGGGGGGGGCGGTGGTGGAGAGGTTTTGCAGTCGTCTTAAAAAAAATTTAAACGCCACCATAATAAAGATTCTTTTTTGTGTTGGATCGCGTAAATATTAACGCATTGCTGAACCCGACACGGCCAATTAGCAAAGTATGTCGCGTAAACAAAATGTGCCAATTAGTTACTATTTCAGCAGCACGCCGGTGTGTTGGAGAGTAAACTCACTACAACATTTACATTTCGAGTCCGACGTTTCGCCGGTGATTACAACAACCAACATCAGCAGGCGATGGCCAGAATTGTGAAGAAGTCCTCCTTTTTTGTGCTGACAGAAGGGTAACGGTGATGCCATCACTGAGTGTGACGACCAGAGGGGGGTGAATGTAGTCTTAGAAGTTACAATTGATCATGTCAATCTGAGAAAATACGCAGCACCTATGGTTGGTTGGGTTATTCAGACTGCGTTGACTGTAATGTGGACTGGCGATCTTCGCCTTGTTTGGCATAAACTTCAACGTTGAGGCGACCCACGCCCTATCAAATAAATTAAACTAAACTTTTTTGTATTTTACCAGGTAATGCCCGCTGAGCTGTGTAGCTGTCACAAATGTTAGCTCGCCGAAGTGGCTCATCATCACGTGGAAATTTATAGCAGCCAAATAATCAAAACGTGTGACGTTGATAAAAAAAAATATGGAGGGGGGGGGAATTATCGTAGGACCTGGAGAAAAATCGACACGACCACTTGGAAAGAAAACGTAACGAGCTCGCGCCGTGTGACCGCTGCCTCGCCGTGTGACCGCTGCCTCGCCGTGTGACCGCTGCCTCGCCGTGTGACCGCTGCCTCGCCGTGTGACCGCTGCCTCGCCGTGTGACCGCTGCCTCGCCGTGTGACCGCTGCCTCGCCGTGTGACCGCTGCCTCGCCGTGTGACCGCTGCCTCGCCGTGTGACCGCTGCCTCGCCGTGTGACCGCTGCCTCGCCGCCTCTCGTCTGTGGTTCCTTCGAGTCTTCCTTTCCTCCGCTCGAGAGCGAGTGAGCGCCGCGTGGCGTAGCGGTGGCGGTGGCAGCGACGGTGCGTTGTTGCGAGGTCACCGTTGTGACTTCAGCAATTCCCGCGCGGAGCTTGGCAGAGCGATGGCGGGCCGACGGGTGCGCACGGGAATCGTCGCGCTGCGCGCCGGGAAGGACCTCGCCTCTTACCGCCGTCTCCCCGCAGGTGGTGCCGAGCCGCTACCTGCTGCAGCCGGTGCGCCTGGAGGAGCACCCGCTGCACGTGCAGCACCTCAAGTCGCTGGCGTTCAGCGTGTACGCGCAGTGCCGCCGCCCGCTGCCGCACCCCGTCAGCATCCGCACGCTCACGGGCTTCGGGCCCGCCGCCGCCATGGTGTCCACGTTACGCGAGCTCGAGGTGAGGGGTGGCGCGGTGGAGAAGTGGAGAGGTGGGAGGGGGAGGGGTGAGTGGTGGGGGGGGTGAGTGGGGGTGAGGGTGGTTCCCCGCAGGTGGTGGTGGGGGGGTTAGAGCTACCGCCTCCTCGTGTGCCGTGCCGGCCTTCAGAGGCGCCCGCTTATCAGCACTTGCCCCAACGGTCTGTTCAGGCTATTCGAGGAGGGGGGGATCTTCGTCTTTGTTTTGCGCGAGCTCGATTCTCCGCCAGGCTTTTTGTCATTTCACGAATTTTTGCCCCCTTTGTGTCGCGCGCAGCGTCCGGAGCGCCTCCAGATCTACTCGCCGCCGTTCATCCTCGCACCCGTCAAGGACAAGCAGACGGAGCTGGGCGAGACGTTTGGCGAGGCGGGCCAGAAGCACAACGTGCTCTTCGTGGGCTACTGCCTGTCCCACGACCAGCGCTGGCTGCTGGCGGCCTGCACCGACCTGCACGGCGAGCTGCTCGAGACCGCCATCATCAACATCCACGTGCCCAACCGGTGCGCTCGCGCTCATGCTCGCTCGCGCTCGCGCACGCTCGCTCACCCTCGCTCACCCTCGCTCACGCTCGCTCGAGCCCTGGGGGTTGGCAATATTTCGAAGAAGAAGAGCCATTTAGTTTTTGTCTTTGACCAAAATAGTTTGAGAGGCACGTCACACGCAGAGCGAGCTACTTGTACGCCAAACACAGCAGCGGGTATTTAGTAGGTGGTAAACAAATTTTGACTCCAACAAAATCTTTGACTTTTGGACATTTTGTTATCACCAAGACACTCCACAGTGAATCCCATTCCCTGCCATATTTAATCAATTAAATTACGTTGAAGATTTAAGTTAGATTTTTTTTTAAGAATGACTGGCCGCAAGGGGCAGCCCGTAGAGCCTGATGCCTGACCCCAGCCTAGCCTCCTCGTAGTCTATGAGAAAAATGATAGATGTATATAAAACTAATATGAAATGGTGTTACATGTTACGAGCGCGGATTGCTTTTGTATTTATATTTATTTAAAAATCTACCCTCTCCAACCTTTTTGAGGATTCAACCCCCCCTCCCCAAAGCCGCCATCACACGCAGGACCACGGTGACTTTTCCACCGCCACGTAGCCTTTCGCGTTCACTCCCGCACCTCCGATTGGAGCACGGTCGGCTACGTACGGTGCGCGAAAGAAGTTCCACGTGCATGAAACAAAGATTCCCTCTCCCTCCCACGTAGCTTTAACAGACCGATGGGGAAAGTTCTGCACGCAAACATACACTGCCGCTGTGCACCCGCCCGTCGGACTGACATTCCCCCCCCCCTCCCCCACCGCCTCGTTTGCCCGCGACAGCTCGCGGAGAGGCAAGGTCGCGTGCCGCCGCTTTGGCCTCAACAAGCTGTGGGAGTGGTGCCTGGGCGTGATGCAGCTCACCTCCATCCCCTGGCGGGTGGTCATCGGGCGGCTGGGCCGCGTGGGCCACGGCGAGCTCAAGGGTGAGTCGCCGTGTGCCTTCACCCTTCGCTCGCACTCACGGAGGGGCGGCTTCGTAGCCCTTCACCCCCGCGATCGCTCCTCTAACCGCGTGGCTTCTTGTTTTTGTTGGGGCAGACTGGCACATCCTGCTGGGACGGCGCGCGCTGCAGTCGAGCTCGCGCAAGCTGAAGGAGACGTGCCGCATGTGCGGCATCTCCGCGGCCGACTCGCCCTCCATCCTGTCCGCGTGCCTCGTGGCCATCGAGCCGCAGGGATCCTTCTTCATCATGCCCGGTGAGAACGGTCGTCTCTCTCTCTCGCTCGCGCACCCATCTCTCTTTCTCGCCCGTCTCTCTCGTGTGCCCGTCTCACTCTCGCGTGCCCGCTCCCCACTCGAGTTGCTGCGTTATCACTTTCGTCACGATATACGATCCCCCGTGCGCCAACGTTTTGCGAAACAAAACTCGTAACAAGCAACCGTTCCCACGGACCCGCTTCCCCCCCCTCCCTCACCCCATGGCCTTTTGCGGGACCCCCAGCGGCCCGTGGGCCACGGCTTGGGGGGAGGCCACCCTTGTCAGGGCCACAGCTTGAGAGGGCCCCCCCCCCCCCTTTAGTGGCTATACCCTTCTGCCAGATGGTGGCATGAACCAGCCACTTGCTGCAGGGGCTTGCGCCTTCGCCCGGCGCCTCCTACGTGTTCCGATTGTGCATCCTTCGCGCTCGTTTTCGCTTGGCTCTCGCGCCCAGTGGCCCCGTGTTTGTCGCGCGCTCGACGCGTCGCCCGGCGGCGCTAACGACCCTGCGTCGTACCCCGACCCCACCACCACCGCCCGACCCAACTCGCAGACTCGGTGTCGACGGGCTCGGTGTTCGGCCGCAGCACGACGCTCAACCTGCAGACGTCGCAGCTGAGCACCCCGCAGGACGCGTCGTGCACTCACATCCTCGTCTTCCCCACCTCGGCCGCCATGGTGCCCACGCCCAACTTCAACCCCGAGCACCTCGACTTCAACTCCAACAATGGTTTGTGCCTCCCCCCCCCATCCCCCCCCCCCCCCGTGGTTTTGGAGCCCTTTTTCACAGGTGCTTGCAAGGTCGCGCTCACGACCGCAAACTGTACGAAGCCAACCGCGCTAGTCGGAGGTGCGGGGGAGGGCAAACAAACTTAACGCTAAAAACAGTTCTAAAGGAATGACTTGTCAATGTAGTATCGTGATGGAGTAGTGTATAATAGTGTCGTGTATAGTAATGTAGTGTGTACGTGTGAACTTCTTTCGCACCGTGCTTAGCCAACCGCGCTAATCGGAGGTGCGGGAATGTTTATCTTGCCGATGTCATCGAGGAGTGTAAACCATCATCGGGTGAACTCCAGTCATCCTCGCGGTTACAGCACCGACTTGTGGCTGGCCGTCAAAGACGGTGGTTACCGCGTCAGCGCGCTTTCGGATGCGCTTCAGTGGCCGTCTGGAACGCTCTTCCTTCCGATGTTAGGAAGCCACCGGAGCTGTAGCTGTTCGCGAGTAGAACCTGTGAAAGCCGGCGCAGACATTTAACCAGTTCATTCGCAAATGCAAGGCAGAACTGTTTAATAAGCTTACAATGTATGAACGATGGGGCAGAGCAGGGGGGGCGGTGAAGCAAAAGCGCAGGAGCGACGGAGCTTCTGCCGTTGTGCTTATCCGCGTTGACGGTCGCGTCCGTGTCTCCCCCACCGCTCCGTAGAAGTGATGGACATCTTGGAGGAAGACATCTTCGACCTGAGCAGCGTGGACCCCGAGCTGTCGCAGCTCATCAACCTGCACCCTTCTCCCACCGCCTCGCCCGGCTCCCCGTCGGGGTCTCCCTCGGGCCCCCACGGGGACGCCCCCTACCAGCACGGCCAGGGGGCCGGCAAGGTGACGGCCGCCCCCCTTTCTTTCTCGTCCGGTTGCCGTCGTTTCTTCCTCGTTCCGTTGCTCTCTTCAAAGCGTCGCCTCTTCCCCGTCGCCCATTCTCTTCCTCTTTCGCCGCCCCCCCCCCTCGCCCCTCCATTTTTTCCCTCGCCTCTCCTGCCCTTCCCTAACCCCCCCCCCCCCCCCGACGCACCCCTCTATCGCGGTCACTCATTCTGCATCCCTTGCATGCCCCTGCCGTTTAAATCATTCTTGGTTATACCGTTTCTTTGTTATTGCAAATGTGATTTATATAAATATATCCGTTTAAGAGAATAAAAAAATGGGGGGCGGGGGGGTATGTCACAAGACATCCGGACCACCCAGTACAACAGCAGTCATCGCCAGGGTCTGGAATCGAACCTGCGACCTCCACGCGCACCGGGCGAGGGAGGAGGAGGCCAACTCCTCGCCGTGCTGACCAACGCGTGCCCCCCCCCCCCCCTCTGTGCCGGCGTCCGCAGCACCAGGGCGGCGAGCGGCTGCTGTCGGCCGAGTCCCACGAGGAGGTGACGAACCTCCTGCAGCAGCCGCTGGCGCTGGGCTACTACGTGTCGACGGCGCCCGCCGCTCCGCTGCCCCAGTCCTTCTGGGCTTCCTGTCCCCAGGCCCAGCAGCACTGCCCCCTCTTCCTCAAGGTAGCTACTCCCCCTTGCTCTCCGTCCCCCCCCCTCTCTCTCGTCCCCCTCCCCCCCTCTCTCTTCGTCCCCTCCCCCCCCCCCTCTCTCCCCCTCCCCCCCCTCTCTCCGTCTCCCCCCCCCCCCACCTCACTGTTTACCCCCCCCACCTCACTCCCCCCACAATGCCACTCACATTTTGTTGTCTCTCCCCCCCCCACCTCCCTCCGTTCACCCGCAGGCGTCGCTGCATCTGCACGTGACCTCCGTGCAGTCAGACGAGCTCCTGCTGTCGAAGCTGTCGCACCCCCTGGACTCGAGCCGCACCTCCGACGTGCTGAGGTGAGCAAGGCGGTGGGGGGGGGGGCTGGGGGCCGTGGGGTGGTCGAGGGTTTGGGGGTAAGCTCAGCCGGTGGTGGTCTGGGATCTCGGCTTTTGGCTCGGTCGCCGAACAAAAGGGCTTCTGCGGCCGTCTGGAACGCTCTTCCATCCGATATTAGGAAGCCACTGGAGCTATGCACTTTTAAAGCCTCATTATCTCGGTTGACAAACTCATTTCTTTAGAACTGCTTTTTGTGCGTTGTCCTTCTCCCGCACCTCCGATTAACACGGTTGGCTACGTACGGCGTGAAAGAACTTCGACGCGCACACCTGACAATTTCTCCCGACCTATTAGAATCTGTTGACGACCACCACTTAACGACGATCGCCCAGACCCAGTTGGCATCATCTTGTGACACTTGTTGGTGTGCGTGTGCACGCGTGTGCCCCCCCCCCTTCCCTCCACCTGTCGCTGGCTTTGCGCGCGTGCAGGTTTGTGCTGGAGCACTACAACGCGCTGTCGTGGCTGTCGTGCGATCCGGCCACCCAGGACCGCCGCTCCTGCCTGCCTGTGCACCTCGTGGTGCTCACACAGCTCTACAACACCTTCCGCACGTTGCTGTAGCAGCACCCCCTCCGCTCTGCCTGCCCCACGGAACTCTACGAGACCCCCGGGAGGAGTGGGTGTGGGGTGGGAGTGGGTGGCAGGGGCGTTCGCGTCGCTCCACCCACCGCTCCTCCACCGCTTGGCGCCCGCCGGACGTGAGCCGGACGGCCGGCCGGCGACGAGGCGGAGAGGGACGCAAAAGAAACAAACGGGGACCTCTGCCGACAGAATTGTGCGCGCGTGGATGATGTCGGGTGAAGATGAAGAAGATGGGTGATGATGATGATGAGGACCGCGATGACGATGATGACCGCGATGACGAGAAAAATCGGTGGAAGTGGGGGGCGTTGATGAAGTACGATGTGTTCCCCCCCCGATTTCCGATCGGACATGATGGCGGGGGTGGTGGTGTGGGCGGTGGGGGGTGGTGTTGGTTTGTGAGCATCAGTGCAACGGGAAGAAAGAGATGCTGGAATTTTTTGCGTCATCCTCTCTCCCGACCGCCCGTCCGCAAGATCTTTGTCCCCCTCGCAAGCCAATCAAAACAGCCAGCCGTTGAGGACCCCAGCGATGTGCCAAGACTGCTTTACCTACACAAGTGTTAAACAAACAAACAAAAACCGTCTGTTGTCCCCTTGGCCGTTCACTCCCTCGCCCAGTCGCCCTCGTGGGGTGGAAAACAAAAACTAAAAATGATGACAAACGAGAATGCAAATTCTTCAGCTCGTCTCCTCCCTCTTTTTACTCTTCACTCAGCTCACCGTTGTCCGTTTGCGTGACGCTAAAGCTAAAAAGATTATGATGACGATCCCGCCGCCGTCGTTGAGCGATTCTCCGGTCGTTGGTGTCCACGGTGACGATCCGGTGGAAAAATTGGACAAAACCGCGATTGCGATTTTGTCCAATTCCACACACCCCCCTCCTCCTCGCTTACGTTTTGTACAAAGCGCTGTTCAATGGCGCTCTATTACGCGACGCTAACAAACAAAACTGCCTTTTGGGTTTCGAGGTCCGCTTCTTAAGTGGACCTACGTTTAATGGTCTGTTTCGTTGGCATTAAAATAAATGAATTCCTTTAAAGGGTTACTTTTAAATCGGCGAATGAGTGGAGTTTCTCCCGATGAGCGAGAGGTCTCTCCTGCGGGTTTGTACAAAAGCGTCGGCACGTTATAGGCCTCTTATTTTTTAAGGCTTCTTCAAACTTAAAAGAAAATTAGGCCGCTTTTCATGAAAAATAATAATGATTTATTATTGATTTCTTTGCCCGTAAAGTTTTTGATTGCTGTGCGAGCTGAGCTTTTAAGTGGAGGGGGGGGGCGAGATTGAAGCAAAATGACAATGAGAGCGAGAGGAAGAGGAGAGGGGGGAAGATGATGGGGTTGGGTGCACGAGGGAGTGATGGCGATGGGGGACCCCCCCAATCTTTACCCCACGGCCCCCTCTTGGAAGACGGAAGTGGCAGTGGTCCTTGCCATGAGCACCCCCACACACACACCCCCACACGCACACCCACACACACACCCACACACGCACCCACACGCACACCCCCACACACACACACACCCACACTCGCTCACACCGCTCAGTATTGTCGCGCGGCCCACCGGATGAAGGCGGCCATCTTTGTAATTAGTACTGTACAGTGTATACAGATCAGATGACTTAACGGGACAATGATGATGATGTGTTTTTTTTGTGGGGTGATAATGGATTGTGAAAGAGTGATGGCTTTGGGGGGTGGGGGGGGTATGTGCTTGGGTGGGGAGATGGGATATGGAAGGGGGGTGGGAATGGGGGGGGGGGTTGTGGGTAATTATTAAAAAAACTCAAGTGAAATTAAAAAATAGGAGAAGAAAAATATACAAAAAACTTTTAATTTACTGGACTATTTTCGTAAGCAGATTTTAAAAAAAAGATACAAATTTGACATATGCTTTTTTCTCAAATATATTAAAGAAAAGTTTTAAAAAATGTAAAATTGTATACAATGTTTAAAACTTTTAGTGTTTTTTCATACGACTCTGTAACAATTTTCATCCTTTTTTGTAGCCCTCGATTGGGGGGTGGGGGTGGTGGTGGGCGTCTGGCCCACGATGGCTCTGCTCAGAGACCCCCGCGGATTCTCCTGCTCCTCGTTCCTCCTCTCATTTTTAATCGACTTGCGCCCCCCCCCTGACGTCTCTTACTTTTCCTTTGAAGCAAAATGAAATCGAGAGAGAGAGGGGGGGGGGGAAGACCTTTATTATTTAAACGTTTTAAGTTAAAAAAAAACAAAAAAGTTTTTTTTTGGTCGGAATATTTATAGAAAAAAATGTGTGTTCTTAACCTATTGAAAAAGGTAAAAAAAAAGAAGCTTATATTCTCTAAATGACTACGAATCTTGAGCCAGAGAGCGAGCGAGCGTGCTTCAAGGCAGCACGCCGTGAAGAGCTAGAAAAAGGGGGGGCGTGGGGCGGGGGGATCTCCCCTTTTTTGGGGGGAGGGGGGGCAGCAGCAGCGGGGGGTTTGGGGGTGTGAAGGCGTCCGCGGTGGGATTGGGGTGGGGGCGGTTGGCCAAGTTGGGGGGGGGGGGTGGCGGGGGGGGGTGTCGGTGACCCTGCGACTGGGTGCGGAGGTTTGGCGAAGAACCGCGGGCCCCCCCCGCTCGGAGGCAGCGATCATCCCCCTGGGGTGTGCCGCCACCGCCACTGCCGACTCTTCCCCTCCCCCTGCCCCCCCCCCCCCAGTCTCCTACCACCGCCCCCCCCCCTCCCCACTGTCAAGGACAGCCCCCTGCCATTCCGACTCCCATGCCAAGCCAGCCTAGACTAAGCATTTGCATGATGAGTGTACATTTCAGACTTTTTAACGAAAACGCTGTATAATTTATGCTGTTCTTAATGATTTCCCTTCCCCCCCCCCCCCCCCCCCCCTCTTAAGCATTACACTGTGGGCTTTTATATGACAATAAACCACGTTTTCATCTGTAACTGAGTGCGGCTCCCTGCCAGTGATCGTCGCTCCAATATTAATAACGCCAAAGTTAGTTTTTTTAACAAGCTTTTGACAATCCGATGTAAGCAGTCCTCGATTTACGAACGCCCGCACTACGAACACACGAACTTACGAACTAGCGTCCATGACATTTTTAATGTAAAAAAATTAACCCGTAAAAACAAAGTTTTTCACTATAAATCCTTTATATGCGTGGCGGCTAGAGTCCTCTCGTTCTCTGGCTTGAGATGGCTGTCACCTATGGGTCAGATGATTGTCTGCCACCATTAAGCAATTGGTAATTAAATATTTAAAAATTTTCCCCTAAACAGTGTAAAATTTTGGTAAAAGAAAATTCACGAAAATTAATTGTCACGCACAACGAGTCTGTGCAAAATGTCAGCTTGATTGGATCACGGGAAGTGGGTTAAAAAACGACCGAAAGATTTGCAGGGTCGTAAGCAAGCAAGCACGCAAGCAAGCAAGCGAACTTAATATAAAGGATTTAATTACATTGACTTAAAATACGAACTCGCACTTGCAAACTGCGCCGCGGAACTATGTGATGAGTCTGCCTCGTGCTAGGAGTCTGTGTGTGTGCCCATGCGCACGTGTATGTGAGTGGAATTGAATGTGCGCGCGTGTGCTCCCGTGTATGCGCTGCACGACCAACCCGGCGAACCGAGTTCGATTCCCGCTCACGGCCGACACCGGTGACTATTATCTGCATGGGTCCTGGGCTTGTCTAGGTCGACTCGGCCTCAAATGAGTACCTGGTTCGGTGTGTAAACGTCGCCACTGGATGCGTCTCGTGGTCAATTGTGGTCGGGCGTGGTGCCGTGCCGGCCTTCATAGGCGCGCTGTTCTCCAACAGTCTGAAGGCTCGGTGGGGGATCGTTGTCAGTGGAGTGTGCGTACCCCGTGTGTGTGTCTGTGTGTCTGTGTGTATGTGCCCCGTGGGGATGACCCTGCTGAGGCTGTCGTGCCTCAAATATTAGAGGAAGAAGTCACCCCCTGTGAGTGGCTGGCTGAGATGCAATCTGTTGAAGTACTGAAGGCGATCCAGAGTCTGAGACCAGGAAAGGCACCAGGCAGAGATGATCTCCCAAGCGACCACAAGGAGAGAGACACGCAAACTCCAAATATACAGCGGCAGGCGTCGGGGTCCTAATTCAGCGCAGGTCGCCCTGCAGATGGCGATGGGGTGGAGGTGTTTGTGCGTAATCATTTGTGACCGGGCAGAAGCACCATCATCAACACGCTTTGACAATCACAAGCGGCTGACACTCGGTTTGGAACTCCGGGGACTCACTCTCAGTGAGGTTGGCGACTTCCCCGCGCGAGACGCCGACTCCGCCTGCGACTCGGCAGCAGAGGGCGGACTTGGCACGGGCGGCACGGGGCGAGGTAGGGGGTGGGGGCGAGGGGGGTAGGGGGGGGCGAGGCCGGGAGCATTGGCGCCCTGCTCATCTGGAGACCGCGGGACCACCAGCCCCCCACCACCCCCACCACACCCACCACCACGACCCCCCCCCCCCCACCACCACTTCCCCACCACCACCACTAAACCACCACCACCACTAAACCACCACCATCCCCCCACCACTCCCCCATCACCACCACCACCACCCCCCACCACCCCCACCACCTCCCACCACTCCCCCAACACCACAACCATCACCCCCCCACCACCACCCCCACACCACCACCCCCACCAGCACACCACCACCCCCACCAGCACACCACCACCCCCACCACCCACCCCACCGTCCCACCCCACCACATCTTCGATTCCCGCTCAAGGCCAACAACACCGGTGACGATTGTCTGAACCTTCCCTGGGCTTCCTCGAGGTCAACTCAGCCTCAAATGAGTACCTGGTGCGATGTGTAAACATCACCACTGGGGAGACAAAGGCGGCCGGGCGTGGTGTTGGCCACCCACCCTCTCGTGTGCCGTGGCCGGCCTTCGTAGGCGCGGCTCGCGAACGGCACTTGCCCCAACAGTCTGTTACAGGCTACACGGGGGATCTTTGCCTCTGTGGTGTCAGCACCGTCCGTGCGAGGCTCCTCTGGAGTTAGTTTACGATCCTTGGGGAGGATGGGAGGATGGGGGCGGCATTCTGAAGCGACCTGGCTGCCACAAATGAGAACTCGACGAGGTGAGATTATCATCGTCACGTGGTTAGCGGTAGTCGAATGCTCTCAACGCGTGGATGTTGTTGATCTTTTAAATGCGAAGGGGGAAAAAAACCGGAGGACCCGGAGAGAACTCCACGCGAAGCACGGAGAGAGAGACACGCGGACTCAAATATACAGCAGCAGGCGTCGGGATCGAAGATACGACCTCCTGTATACCAGGCGAGGTAGTCAACATCTCGCCACCGTGATGATGATAGAGACACGCAGACTCCAAATATATAGCAGCAGGCGTCAGGATCGGGATCGAAGATACGACCTCCTATATACCAGGTGAGGTAGTCAACATCTCGCCACCGTAATGATGATAGAGAGAGAGACGCAGACTCCAAATATACAGCAGCAGGCTGTATATTTGGAGTCTATACAGCAGCAGGCGTCAGGATCGGGATCGAACCCACGACCTCCTGTACACCAGGCGAGGTAGTCAACATTAACGAGAGGGCTCTGGCTCTCTGCTGAACGCGTAAACACCTGGGGGGGGGGGGTGGGATGATAATCGTGGGCTCGAGTCGCGGTTTCGCGTCTAAGAGACAGAAGAATTACGTTCGGACTTACGGCTTTAGAGTCTTACGGGATATATGGGGGTTTAGTCGCATTAGGGATTAGGGGCTTGACTCGGGCGAGTCGCCAAGGGGCGATGTTTCTGGCCAGGTGGGTCGGAGGCCGGGAGAGCGGCAACTGCAGGTTACGAGTTCAATCCCCCGGTCGAAGGGGTGGAGGGTTGACTACAACGCATCATTACTCCGCGGCCGGTAAAATTGAGAACCACTTTGTGCGAACGTCAACAATGGTTGTCTTATGGATAGACTCGCTCCCATCCATCCTCTCCCGCCATAGGAATGTGGAATTTCCAACACTGGCTCCGCAGGGCTGTACACGGGAGATGACCACCAATGATGAATCAATGCTCGTTTGAGCCACGACATTGCGTTTACCCTTCGCCATTTAGAGAACCTGTCGACAGCACAATGACAACTCGCTTGGGACTGAGATGTACAGGCGGATGTGTGAACATCGTTGTACGTAATCGGATGTGTGTTGAACTTCTTTCGCACCCTACGTAGACGATGGGGCGATGGAATTCCAAAGTGGAGAAATGCGCGTGGGGAAGCGAGGAAGAGAGAGTCGGGACCTGGGTGATGGTTGATGGAACCACTGGAGGATGTTGTTGATGGTTGTGGATGTTGTTGATGGTTGTGGTTGATGGTCGAAGTGAGAGAGAGAGAGGAGGAGTCGGGACGAGGTTGATGGGACCAATGGTGGCCTAGCCCGGTGCAAGTCTTTAGCTCTGTCAACTAAGTCGCGTTAGTGAGTTAAGCTGCTTTTTAAAAACTTTATTATCCGACTGTGACCCCCTCGCCCCCCAGTCCCAAGCCCCCCCCCCCCCCCCCCCGGAGAGAGGTCTCGGCAGTGAAAAGGCAAAAGTCATTATCTCAATTAGCGGAGCAATGACTCTGACACCGCGGGGGGGGGGGGGTGCGAGGGGGGGGGGCATGGTATGTGTGGGGGTGTGGTGGGGGAGCGGTGGCGCAGCGGTTAGCGCTATGCTGCGCTACGAACCCGGCGAATCTCGAGTTTGATTCCCGCTCGCGACCAATGTCGACCTGGCACCAGCAGAGAGACAAACAGAGAGACAGACAGAGAGAAACAGAGAGCTAGAGAGACAGACAGAGAGAGACAGAGAGACAGACAGAGACAGACAGAAAGAGACAGAGAGCGAGAGAAACAGAGACAAAGAGACAGTTCGTGTCATGTCGCTGCTCCTCGTCCGTTCGAGTAGCGCAGAGCACACTGGGTTTACTGTACGGGTCTCTGTGAGTCTCTATGAGTCTCTGTATATGCCAATGTGTCTCTATGCATCTCTGGATATGTGTGTATCTCTATGGGTCTCCATGTATCTCAATGGGTCTTTATGAGCCTCTATGTATCTCAATGTGTCTCTATGGGTTTATATGCATCTATATGCATATCTATGCATCTCTATGCATCTCTGTGGGTGTCTATTCATATCTATGGATATCTGTGTATCTGTATGGGTTTCTATGCATCTCTATGGATATCTGTGTATCTCTATGGGTCTCTATGCATCTCTATGGATGACTCCAACAGGAGCGCGTTCAGGAGATCCACAGCCAACGCCGAGTGCAGCCGTCGCGACGAGAGGAAGTCGGCAGGGAGAGGGAGAGAGACATTTCGTGTCGTGTCGCCCTTCCTCTGTGCTCACGACCACACTCCTTCTGGCTCGACTTTAACTCTTCTCCATGGGTCTCTATGAGCC